GCTCCATACTTTAGCTTGAACGCCCGGAAGCGAGGAAAGGCCTTTTTGCTTGATCAGTCTCTCCCCATCCCAGCGATAGCCATACGGAATGCCGATTCCGTCTTTTGTTTTGAACGATGGAGTTGCAGGCGCCAGTCTCTCTCGGACTGAGAAGGGTACATCATCTAGAGGATCATATCGTGCAGGATAGACGATGTCGTCCCTTGCTGACCCCCCTAATGGCCGATCTCCTTCATCGAGTGGTCCCACTCCCCCTTCGAAATCTTCTTCTTCTTCTTGATGCGGGTTTCTTTCTTCAACGGCGTTGTGATGTTGATCATCGAGTTCGGGCGGCTTCTGGTTTCCCAGAGCTTCAAGATCCTGTGACAATGGGAACTGGAACTTCCCTTCCAGGAGTTCAAGCCTTTTGGCCCTGAAAGTCCTGAAGGCGTCATTCTCGATGGCCTCGTTGATTCCCTGCAAAGGAGCAACTAAGTACTCTTCCTTGAAGACGAAGCCAGGCTGGATATGATACCCGAGGAAAATTCCTTCAATACCCGTCCCCGCAAACTTTGACCTTTTGGGCTGCTTCTGCTTGGGGTCGGCCCAGTACAAAATCTTAGCCCCAAAGGGAACAAGGACCCCTTGGAAGTCGCTCCCGAACCTTTGATTCCATGGCACTAAACCGTTGTCAAGACGTTTACTAACGTTCAAAGAAATAGCGTGATGTTGGGATGCAAGTGGCCAGAACTGATCAGGTAAACCAGATTGTACCAAATTGGCACGCGTACCTTCCAAGATCGTTCGTATTTCACGCTCGATCACTGCTTTGTTCTGATCCACATACTCCCTGGATGTATTGTGCCTAGCTTGGAGTTGCCTAACCGCGTAGTCGAACTCATGAGCGTTGTCAGAGTAAACAACCTTAACATTATCATCGACCTCGAAAAAGTGCAGTAAATCTTCGTAACACTGCTCACCACTTTTGTTGTCGGCCGGGTAAACATAACGGAACTTCGTAAAGACATCCTTCACAACATGTGCTACAGTTTGTCCTTCGAATCCGTAGTCCTTGGCGTCCTTCGTGATGATGTGGTCGATGGTGATGTGGTCACCGAACCCCTTGCTGTGCACAGTGCTAGAACCTCCCTTTCTTCTGGCATGCGGAGCATACATTTTGGCACGTTGACATACCGGACAGAAAGGGTTCTTTGGACGATGACTCAAAAGATGCTGCACGGATTCCGCTTCAGCTCTTAGAGACGCCTCGTCCTTCTTCGACTTTGGAATGCGGGCCTCAACGTCGCTATCGGGCACATCTTCACCGCCATCGGGCATGGTAAAGACAGTGATGGTCATGTCGGTACCCTCAGGTACCTTCCCGTAGACGGCGTCGAGCTCGTCCATGTTGGCCTTGTTCTCCAGCTGCTTCCACTCGCCATCTTTGTATCCCCAGGTGGAACGAATTCGATACTTGGGGTAGCGAGGTGCAGGTGTTCTGAAGGTCTTTGGGTTATGGGCAACCTTGACGTGGGGATCACCATTCACAGTAACCCATCCAGCCTTCAACAGTTGCTCTTTCTTCATGCCTTCAAGAGGGGGATCCTTGGTTAGGATCTCTGCCAGCCATGGTGGATGACCTCCCTCGTCCGCCGCAGGTACCGGGACTACACCGTCTGGAGCTCCTGGAAGTGGTCCGGCTGCTGCGGCATGCCCTTTCGGGCAGCTTATGCGTGAAAATCCTGCTGCAAGGAGCAGGTAGGCGCCATTCGTTCACCTTCATCGCGATGCGCTACAGCAGCTGGGTGTCCGGAATCATTCCCAATACTGCTGAACACTGGAACATTCCCCCGTAGCGTGCAAGTGAGCTTCTGGCCATCGGGCTTCACGAAGTACGGAACTTGCCCTGGAGGCCAGTAAAAACCGTACCCTTGCTGCATGCACTTCTTTCCCACAGAGCAAACCGGTGGGGTATCCGGGAGTTCCACGAATTCCAGGCTGCCATTCATTGACGGAACCTCGACTTCTGTCCTGGACGATGCCTCCACGATGCCATTGGCCGTGTGAAGGTTGACTGGCGTTGCGTCGACTTTTCTACCGACTCCTTCGAAACACTTTCTCAAGTCCGAAGAGCTGATAAGGTCCTCTTCACTTCCCGTATCGGCAATGATGTCCAAGCTCTGAAGTTCCTTGCGCGCTGGAGCGGCAGTTCCTGACATTATGTTTCCTGCTGCACAATGCCGACAAGCAAAATCAGGCTTGCAGCAGCGATGCTTGCATTTTGTCTTTTCACCATGGAGTTCCGAGTACACTGAGGCTTCAAGATTTTGTGCGTTGATGACTGCACACTGAAGATCACTAGGGTCGGACATAGGGCAATCAGCATTGGTTTTGAACCTTGCCACACATTTGCGCCTATGGGGAACAAATTTCCAACCATCTCCGACGCTTTCAACTGGGTGTATCTCAGGGTGCCTTTCAAAACACACACTCATGTCTTTAGGCTTCAGCTTGAAACTCGTAACGCCCGTCCAGTTGGGCAGAGGTGCTTGCTTGTCGCACGTTTTCCAATTGTACTGTAACGTTCGCTCTTCGCCGGTTTTCAGCTTCATGGTGATGCTCGCAACAGACTTGATTCTCCATGCTGGAACGGGGCAGCTTTGGGGAATGAAATAGTTGTTTCTCAGAACAACATGTTCCCTAGACAGCGTGAGTGACTTCTCATCAAGACGCCATGTGTCTGCATGCCTACCATCCGGCTCACCCTTTCGGGCGGCTAAGGCGTACACGCAACAGGCAGCTGCTTTAGCTTCTGTCCTCTTCTTCCGGCTCGGCCTTCGCTTAGCCGGGGAGGGTGCACGTGCCTTAGCCTTGGCCGGGACAGAGGGCGATGCGGGCCTGTCCTTGTGCAAGAACTTGCATTTGTCCCCATTCCTGCAAGTACCCTTGGCATAAAATACGCATGGGATATTGGAGGTATCTTTGCTGTTGCTCTTCTCTCTCTCGCGAGAACCTGACTTAGGCCGGTTGGGAGATCTCTCCCTTGAGGATGCTTTGGGGTCTTTCGTGTGTTCATACTTGCAACGTTCCCCAAACTTACACTTACCCTTCTGAAACAACATGCAAACCTGCCTACCCTGACGTCCTCTGGATGGCTGTCGTCGCTCCGAGGGGGCGGGCGCCGACGGCTTCGCAGGGGTAGGAGGGGCAGGTGCACCATACTTTGCGCCATGTGCCTTAGCAATCTTGTCCCTGTTCTTCCTAATTCGTTCTCGTGTGAGGAGATTCTTGATGCTTTCCATGAGGAACTTGTAGGTGTGCTCAGGGGTCCCCTCACGAGCCCGATCGTAAATGTCGAGATCATACTTCAAACGATGGGACTTGCGAAGCTCACGAAGGAATATGTCTCGCAAAGTGGTTTCGTCTGGAGGATGCGACAGTCCAGCAATCACTGAATCCCAGTTATGCACGAAGGTAGCGAGGTCATCATTGATCAGTGCCACTTTCAAGAGGTCTTCGACCGAGTAGAGGGAGCCAACTTCTTCGTTGGTTTTAAAGTAGGCTTCAAACATTAACAGCACTTGCCTACCTCTCACTGCTCTACCACAGGTGGCCTCCGTCTCCTTGTAGTTGAGTATTTGTCTCGCAAGCTCGCCCTTCGCCACCCTAGACAATGCTGCAAGGATTTTGGTGTCTAGCGTGAGGAATTTCCCTACATCGTTGAGGCTATCTAGTGAAGCACCCTTTGCGTACACCTGCTGAATCCACGCAAATGCTTCATCAGGGTGATCAGATGCTGCTCGAACAGCCTCACGTACTGCCGTCTTCCACGATCTGTACGTCTCCGCTGAGGGAAAATCCGGAAGTTTCACTGTCTCGGCTTCCTTAGTCTTAGGTTTCGTCTCATCCTTGGTAGCAAAGTCCTTGAGCGCTTTTGCAATCGCTTCATGCACTTCATTAGGGGCCTGCGAAACAGGAGTAGATGCCCCCAGATTAAACCTCTGGGGTCGTCTCTCAAAGAGACCCTTCATGCTCTCTGGAATCTGCAACGGATTTGGCAAATCAGCATGCGTGACATGTGCATTACCGCATGCGGCACCCCCTTGCGGGGGGCTTGCTTCGGCAGTGTTCAAACCCGGTGGAGGTGCTGAGGCCATGGGAACAGCCTGCTGGTGCTCGGCACCACCTTTCGGCAGGCTAGATGACGCTGCAGCGGTTGCCTTAGCCTCATCAAGCTCAACCATCAAACGCTGGTTCGACTCAGCCAACTCCTGAATCAAGACATCACATGCACTCTCTTCTTCATGCATGGCATATGTGAACATGTTCTCTTCATACTGCATTTGCTCTCTAAATTCGTTGCCTAAGAATTCCAGCTGGGTTTCCCTGTTTTGATCGTACACAACCCTGAGGTTAGCAAGAGAAAATTCACTCTGTTCGAGGTGGGTCCTGAGGCGAGTTTCCGATTCGAGAACCATGTTACCTCGTGCCTCAAGCTCGAGATTGTGCATCCTGAGTGTGTGTGCGTCCTGTGCGGCTTGGTCAAGCTCCGCCGTTCGACCTCTTAGTGCTGCCTTGGTCTCCAGTAGTTGTTGTTGTAGCTCACGAACCACAAAGTCCATGCGGTCACTGATGACTTCAATCCGTGCACGATGTTGGGCATCAGCGTGTTGCTCGAGTTCTCCCATTTCTGCACGGGCCTGTCTTGTAGCCATGTCCAGGATTTCCGCATGTCTGCGTTCGGCTTCAATACGAACTCGCTCTGCATCCTCGTTTTGTTGCACGATGATCAGCTGCTGCTGTACCCGGTACTGGTTGAACTGTTGGTAGTTGGTCGTTGCAGTCTGATCATGTTGCGCATTGGGATCCATGGTCCCATCTTGCAGCTGCAGAGCCATCGTGTGAGACTCTACGGCTGATAACCTGAAGTTTTCAGGTCAGCACATGAGGGAACATATAAACCGTTAAGTACGCCTCTTTTTATCGGCAACTTGAGCCACAGTCAAGGGTAAAGCGATAGTATGCACAGCTCGCAAAAGGAGTGTAATTCCTCCATGAAAAACTACAGAAATGCTGTGGGAGATTTTATTGGTGGTGAGGTCCAGCCCTTTCCAAGCTCCTGTGAGAACGGCGTCCTGAAGCTCCGGGGAAGTTACACTGCGTCTGAACGAACCTTTCCATCTTGCAGCCTGCTGGGTGAGCCAGGGACTCAGGTCATCATTGAGGCACCGCTCTACTTCAATGGCGATGTCATTGTTCAGGGCGAGCTGCGAGTCAGCTCAGACCGCATGTTGACCACGCCATGCCTGATAGTTAAAGGAAGCCTCTTTCTGAAGGGAGCAAATGCCAGCTTTCGTGGATGTGTGAACATCGGCCATTCTCGGGATGGTCCTCCACATGGAGGGGCGGCACATGTTTCTGAGAATGTAATCATGATCGCAAGCACTGTAACATTCGAGCATGGCATGGCGCATCGGGGTGGTTGCTTGTTCGTCGGAAAAGACTTCAAGCAGAACGAAGCCAGTGTAGCTCTTTTCAGGAACTGCTCTGCGTCTGATGGTCCTGGAGGTGGCCTGTGTGTTGTCGAGAACTTCGAACAGACTGGCAGCAGTGCTGCAGAGTTCGACGAATGCCAAGCAAACGGCGAGAACGCCAATGGCAGTGGCCTGAGTAGTGCAAACACAAGCAAGACTAGCAGAACTTGAACATACTTGAACACACACTGCTCAATAAGTTTGCGCGTATTCGTTTTAATGGGTCTACTGCAGAATAGAAAGCCCAGCACCACCATGCAGTATGTCCAGTCACATGCGCAACTTAAAGAATGCATGTTTCACCTCCTCTGGTCCCCTCTTGTCTCGTGGTCACTCATGAACACCATAGAACAGCACGAACAGTGCGAACACTGCGAACAGCACAAACACTGCGAACAGCGCGAACTGCGCGAACACCGCGAACGGCACGAACACCGCGAACAGCGCGAACACCGCGCTGTTCAACAGCGTGAACACCGCGAACAACAGCGCGAACACCGCGAACACCGCGAACATGGCGAGCACCTCGAACACTCGCCTTCTGCAAGAGATCGTGCCATTCGTGCCTAACAACCCGAAATCCGAAACCCGCCTTGTGCGGGACTCGAGCCTTGGTTAAACGAGTTGGGGTTGAGAAGAGAGGCTTTTTCATGTACACAGGACTTGTGCCTTGGTTCAAAAAGGAGAGCTTAGGGATTCGGGTTTCGGGTTTAGAAAAGGGTTGGGGTTTCGGGGAGTGCTTGCCCCTGCTTGTGCAAGACCGTGCCTTGGTTACGAGGGTTAGGGTTTGGGGGCCCTAAATCCGAACCTCGCCTGGCGCAGGACTCGTGCCTTGGGTTGGGGCTGCAGGGTTTTCTGTTTAGGGTTCAGGGAAGTTTCAGCGAACAGCGCGAACACAGCGAGCAGCGCGAACATCCCGAAGAGCGCGAACAGTGCGAACACCCGGAACAGCACGAACAGCACGAACAGCGCGAGCAGCGCAAACTCCGCGAACACCGCGAACAGGGCAACGCAGCGTCCATATGTCCTCGTGGTCACCGGGTCCTCTGGTCTGGTCCCCTCCCCCCCCCCCCCCCCCCGCTTTCATTGTAGCCATGCAAACTTGTTCCGGAAGAATGTGTTCCGGAAGAATGTCGTGCCATGAATTTCCTTAAAGTTACTAGCCCGGCCTCCGCAGCAAAGAAGCATGCACCCGGCTTCTGAAAACAAAACACTCTTACCCGGCGCACGCTTGTGTTGACCAGATGCAAAGAAGAGCTTAGGTGGTGGCTTGTTTGCCAAGAGCTTCTTCCAGGAAGGTTCCAGCTCGATCCTCTTCCGCAACTGCTCCGCGACTGGAGGCGGCGGCCTTTACGCGTACGAAGCCGTTCAGACAGATGGCAGCCGGGGACAGTTCGAAAATTGCATGTCTCTGGATGGTGGTGGTGGTGGACTTAAGGTTTTGGGCACGTTCCAGCATGAAAGAAGCTCTTTGCAGTTCAAAGACTGCTGGTCCTTTCAGGACGGCGGCTGCCTTTGGGCTTTGGGCATGTTTCAGGTCATGAGCACCGCATTCTTTGTGAACTGCAGAACATCTCAGGGGCGTGGTGGGGGTATTCATGCACGGAAACTTTATCAGGCAAGCTTCAGCTCCTTGCACTTCGAGAATTGCAAGGCCAGTGGTTCTGGTGGTGGAATGTGCATAAGGAACACCTTCGACCAGTCAAACAGCGACGCGCGCTTCAGCAATTGCAGCTCTAAACGTTCCGGTGGTGGAGCCTTCGTGGAGAGAGAGTTCTCCCAACAGCGCGATGGCTCTGTAAACTTTGAAAACTGCAGCGCCAATGCTGGTGGCGGCTTGAAGGCTAGAAGCTTCCTTCAAAACGCAGGAAGCAAGGCCGTATTCGACGCGTGCACATCTGTTGATGATGGCGGCGGCAGTTTTGTTGATTTTTTTCAACAAGATGCGGTCAGCTCTGCTCTTTTCCTTCGCTGCTCTGCAGAGCGCAATGGTGGTGGCCTATCTGTTGGCCGGCTTCATGGCAATGGATCGATGTATTTTGGGACCTGCCAAGCTGAAGCAGGTGGAGGGTTCCAGATACAAACCAGTGTGGAGTTTTATGGGCCATTGGTCCTGAAGGAGTGCCATTCCAACAGCCACGGTGGTGGCATTTTATCCCTAAGCGACAGACCAGGACGTTTCCGAAGCCTAGATGTCGAAGAGTGCACTTCCGCCACCGCTGCAGCCCTCGCGGTGACACGCGGAACAGCAGAGATTCGGATCACTTTCCTCAGGCTCCTGGACAACCACGGAAGCGATTCGATCGACATTTCAGTTTCTGGCAGCTTGATCATTGAAAATGCAAGCTTCGAGGCGCGATACCAAGAGGGAGCAGGCGGTCACCCTGCTGTTTCTATCTCGGCACATCACATACTCACGGAAGCAGAGATCGATTGCACAAGACTCAAGGCAGGATTTGCCGTCGAAACCAGGTCTCGTTCAAGCCGTAGGTAAAAGTCAGCCTGAAGATTTAATCTGACATCCGGAATGTGAAGCATGAACTGGGCTGAGCCCATCTTGGAGCTGACTTCTTCATGTATCTAGACAGCCAAATTAAGGCATGCCGGCTCATGGCGGACGAGTTCCAGGTCGCCGGATTCCTGTGCTCAGTGGGTTCTGGTGTCGGCAGCCAGGACGTCACACAGCATGGTTGCTTGAGGTGCCGCGAAGGCTATACACAGATCTGCCATCGGAGCCAACGCTCCTGCCAACGCTGCCCCACGAAAGCCCGCAGATGTTTTGCTGGTAGCCTCGAGATGGAGCCAGGTGTCATGCTTGAGGTGCAGAATGTAAGCAGGACTTTCCGCTGTCCCAACGAAGTTGCCTGCCCTGGGGGCTCACTGCCGTCGAAAGAGATTGGCATGTGCCGGCCAGGCTATAATGGCCGCGGCTGCGTAAACTGCGACAATGGCTATGCAATGGCAGACAGCAGTGTGCTCTCATGCACTGCTTGCAGCGACAACGGTTGGGTTCAGACTGTGCAATGGCTGCTTTTCTTTCTGCAGCGTGTCTTTCTCTTCGCACTGGCGGCCACAAGCGTGCTGGGAGCTAGATCGGCGGGCTCTGTGAAGCGCAGCGCGATCTACATCAATCAACTCATAGCGTTTGCGACCATCTCCAAAACTATCATGACTGCTGTCTTGCAGACACAGACGGCCAAAGAAATGGGTCGCATGGCAGCTGCCATGATACAAACATCGGTGATCTTGGCAGATTCGGGGTCGGGCGAAGGCGCCCTACTAGGTGCTTCCACACAGTGCTTACTGTCCTATATTGACTTTGGCAAGTCCTTGGCTGGAGCTCATTTCCTGGAACTTGCTGTGGCAGCCTTGCTGGTTGCGAGCCTGGCGTCTTTGAAAGATTCCAAAGTTGCTCTCGTTGCAGGCTTGAACTGTTTCCTGCCCCCCGTGGTGGCTGGCTTCGGCAAGTATTTGGTATGCTACCGCTTGGAGCCTGAAGATCGCTTCTTGAGCCTCCACTGTCCTTTCCTACCAACCGAGTCATTGATGGTCGGCTTTGTGCTGGTGTTTTGCGGCCTAATCCTCTGCTTCGCTGCTGGACTTTGCAAGTGGCTCAGCCTGTCCCAGTCCAAGCAGTCCAAGGGCAAGCTTCAAGTGCTCGACGAGGCCCATGTCATCTTCCTCACCAGCAAGTACAAGCCGCGCTACACCCTGTTTGAGACAGAGCGATTGGTGAGGAAGACCCTTATCACACTCATCCGGGCCGTGCTGCCGATTTCCCTGTCACCGGCTCTGCAGATGGGGAGCTTGGGCGTGGTGGTCCTCACATCCTTGTTGCTTTACACCCTCTGCAACCCTTACCACGCACCGGAGTTTAACTGGAGCGAGATTGCTTTGTTGTCAACAGCCGCCTACATGGTTTTCCTGACTTCCAGTCTGCTGGCGAACGAATCGCACTGGGCGCATTCGGTGCTGACGCAACAGGCCATCATCCTGTGCACTGCGGTCGCCGCGACGGTGGCCAGCTCGCTCATGACATGCCGCATCCTTCTTGAAAAGCTCCGCGAGCGGGAGGGCGCCCGAGATTTGGAGAGGGAGCAGCAAGCTCACGCCGGTAGTATCGAGCTGCAGTCACAGAGCTTGGCTAGACGGTGACGCATGAACAAAACCCAATGACCACAGCCGGCGCAGCCTCAAAAGATCCGAAAAGGCGGAGATTTGCTTCAAATCATCTTCTGGAGCTTTCACCCAGCCCCATCTGCCAAATGTCAAAGAACTTCGGCACCTGCGCAAGGGGATGTGGTTCAGTGTGGTTCGTAACTCAACATCAGGGGTAAGCACTGGGATCTCCACCTTCCTTAAGTTTGGCCCTGAAGCCTCCAACAGACCCCACTCCAGAAAAGAACGCCGCAAGGATGCTGCACTGCCTGGTGTTGATCAAGCCCACGGTTCCTTGAACTGGGCACTATAGGCTTTCTCGGGTTCGGAGATGAGCTGGCCAGGTTCAGACTTACGGCCTCAGCGAATAAACGTTGAAAGTGTAGGCACAGAAGGGTCTCCCCAATGGTCTGACCGTCCAGCTTGGCTGGGTTTCATCAGCTCGTCGAGTTGTCCAGGGCCTGCCCTTCCCCCCGCGCTGCACCATGCAATGGGTCAATGGGTGAGGAGAGGTTCGGGGCATAGGCGGAGTGGCACCAAGGTTCTGACACCCTACCCTGGCCTGCAGAACTTTTACAACCGCTTCAAGGCCATGGAGAAGACACAGGACCGTAGGTTCGTCAGTTCATCATGCAACATGGTATGCAACCTCCGGCTTCCGCTGCGCACAGGACATCCTTGAGAAAGGTGGCAAGTTTCCTGGACCCTTCAAGCAGTACTTCATTGCCTGAGAAGTGAGCCTGTGACCCGTAGTTAGTAGCATGACTGGCATGAGGCAAGGCTTCAGCTTCCAGACAAGCATTGGATGTAGCCACCAGACTCAGTGGAGCCTGAACCCCAGAATCTGGCTGTGAATGCCTTTTGAGCCTTAGACAGCGCGCCTGCATGGCCCATGCATCACACGGTTTGCCTAGCTGGAGGGCCCTGCTGGGCCTGCACTTCAAAAAGCATGTTGCGCTACGTTGGTCTTTTAGGCTGTCGACTTGTGGTTGTTGGGACATGTTGGGACTTGGAATTACATTTGGGAGTTCAGGCTAAGGTTGTTGGACCGGCAGACGTAGCAGGCTAATCTGACAGGGGTTCTACAGGACTTCAAGACTGAACCTTCTGCACCGAAGGCTTCTTCAGGAGTAAGAGCTCCAGCACTAAATTCCTAAATAAGCCCGCAGGCCTGAGCCTGAAACCGTCCGCTTGGGTGCAGGCGCGCGGAGACTTTGAGGGAACATTTTCAGCGGCATGCACGGCTGCTCTCACATCGTTTAAGATATACTTGGCTGACCTGCGAACGTAGAAGCCAGGCTACAATGAAATCAATATTGCAATGTTCATTCGGTGGTTGCCCAAGTTGTCGTGATTGGCACAACGTTGCCAGAAGGAATGCGGGCTTACTATTTGTTTTCCTACCACCACCCGTGCTACTATTTCTACCAGTACCGCCACTACAACTACAACTACTACGACTACTACGACTACTACGACTACTACGACTACTACTACTACTACTACTACTACTACTACTACTACTACTACTACTACTACTAGTACTCGTACTCGTACTCGTACTCGTACTCGTACTAGTACTACTACTACTACTACTACTACTACTACTACTACTACTACTACTACAACTACTACTACTACTACTACTACTACTACTACTACTACTACTACTAGTACTAGTACTAGTACTAGTACTAGTACTAGTACTAGTACTCGTACTACTACTACTACTCCTCCTACTACTACTACTACTACTACTGCTGCTGCTGCTGCTGCTGCTGCTACTAATACTACTACTACTCCTACTCCTACTGCTACTGCTACTGCTACTGCTACTGCTGCTACTGTTGCTACTACTGCTACTGCTACTACTGCTACTGCTATTGCTACTCCTACTACTACTCCTACTACTCCTCCTACTACTACTACTACTACTACTACTACTACTACTACTACTACTACTACTACTACTGCTACTGCTACTACTACTACTACTACTACTACTACTACTACTACTACTACTACTACTACTACTACTACTACTACTACTACTACTACTACTACTACTACTACTACTACTACTACTACTACTACTACTACTACTACTACTACTACTACTACTACTACTACTGCTACTACTGCTACTGCTGCTGCTGCTGCTGCTGCTGCTGCTGCTGCTGCTGCTGCTGCTGCTGCTGCTACTGCTACTACTACTACTACTACTACTACTACTACTACCACTACTACCTTCTACGTTATACCTTCTACCTTATACCTTCTACCTTCTACGTTCTACCTTCTGCCTTCTACTTTCTACCTTCTACTTTTACTTCTTCTACTACTTCTACTGCTACACACACAAAATGCCTGAGGTTTGCATGTCTCATGAGGTGAACACTTGATGCTGCACGCAAGTCAGCGCAACGACATGGGTCAATGCCGGCTGATTCGCGTCACGCCAGGGATGCCTCCGCAGTTGAGGCCGTTATGGCAGCTTTGTTGATTCGTACAGCCCCGCGGCGCTCTCTTCAACTGCCTTCTGCTTGACGGGCATTCTGGGGCTTTGGCTGACGGCCTGGCTAAGCCTGGCGTTGTTAGTTTTTTGTGTATGTGTGTGTATGTACGTTAACGGGCCAATCTCACATGCTACCTAGCAGCCTTGCTTCACTCCAAGGGCCAAGCCAGCATTTAGGTTCAGGGCTTAGGGAATCTACCAGAGGAGAGCGCTGCCAACGGACCGACCTAAAGCAGCAGCAAGAAAAGGTTGCGATGATTGTGTTTGCAAGGCGCAGGAGAGGAGGGAGGGGCAGCCCTGTAATGATGTACTCCGAAGCCCAAATCCTTGCCTGCCTTGTGCGAGTGTGAGCGTCGAAACCTCAACAAAGACCATGCAGTGCGGATGGCCGAAAAATCCAAGCTCAAACACCTGTGGCAAAGTTAGTCTCTTGAAAGGGTCCCACAGATTCCCCAAACCCGAAGGGGTCCAAGCTAGAAGAGTTCGGGTTGTCTGTGGGGGTTTCCCTAAACATTACAGAGCCCCCCCTTCCCCTACACTAGCAATTGTGCAAGGACCAGTTGCAGGCACAGCTCAGCAAAGGATTCACGCTTTAGAACGAGCAGCCACCAAACCACCCTCGATAGTTTCAACACAGCCTCTCGATTCGTGGAATCGTTGAAGCAGTCTATCCCAGGTTGGTGTCTCCGAGGCTCCGCTTCATCACGCTGGTGTGCGGGGGGGGGGGAAGTACGGCTGGATTGTGATTCCCACCTCGGTGGGGGGGGGGGGGTAAAGGATTCAATTGCAGACACAGCAGAGCGTGGATCCATTTCCTTCTCGGGTCCCTGACAGCAGGTGACTGCCGAGGCCGAACTTCTCTCGGCTGTGGTCACCTTCTTCGAGAGTGCCGGTGCCCCAGTAGGCCAATGTCTGGTCGACATGGCACGGAAAGGTGCAAGAGACATTAAGGCGGCTGGGGTTGAGATAACTTTTCGAGTCCGAAAAGTCGTGTCTGCAGGTCGGCATCACCTCCAAGGATATCGGGCTAAAGATCAACTCCCGCAAGGTGTGCCATGATGTTGTTCGGAGAGTATCTGGCATTATCAGCCAATCTTCTTTGGGGCAGGCTTCGTAGGCCATCAGATCAGTATCTTCTCGATACACATCCCAGAAGTCGGGGGTGACGGACCTAGGAATACATAACGGAATCCCGCCTCCCGCCACGAAGGGGCGGTCAAGAGTCTTCCGGACGGCCGACTGACGCAAACCCTGCGACTCCACTCACTAAGCCACAGCCATCCGTGAGCATCAACAGTGGAGTAGAGAGGCTCAGTGCCGGGCAGGTGCTCGGTGCGGTGCTGACCAGCGCTGGGGTACCTGCTGAGAAGCCCGGGACTCCGCTAGCATGTCTTTGAGGCTTCAAAGCAAGGTACGGAAAGTGGTGAAGGGTCAATGGTTTGCACGGCGTGCGTCGGTTTTGGCGCGGTGGCGCCCGATTTGAATGCAATGCAATTGTTTCTCCAGATGCCTCTCAGGGTCTGAGCTCGTTCCTTACTGTGCCTGTTACGTAGCAGGGTACATATCCTCGAGTGGCTGTGCTTTGCTGCAGGTTCCGTTTCTTGGCTGAAGATCTCTTGGGTTTTAGCACCCGTAAACAGCGACAGAGCAGCATCTCTTGGTCCATGAGAGCAGTGACCCCTTACCCAGGATTATCCTCGTCAAGGGCCGGCCAAGGCAGCCGAGCAAAGCAAAATCGGAGCCAGGTTTGCGGAGACCTGCGTCATTATCGATAAGCTCGACAAGATTGGTGCCGACGCTGTCAAGAAGGAGTTAACCGACAAGGCACAGCCGAGAAGAATTGAACATTCTCAAGCCTGAAATTTGTCCCCGAGGTGAGCCTCAGCGCCGAGGTGGCGGAGAGGATCGTGGCTGCCACAGGCGCCCAGACGCTGGAGGAGGGCTTTGCCGAAACCTCACAAGCTGCAGGTCTGGAAGGTTTGGGAGCTGTCGGCTGTTTATGTTCAGGACTGTTCGTGGACGCAGAACTTCGCATTAAATTGTGAAAAGGGACGCACAAAAGGTCGCACTCTCGAGCCGCAGTGGCCTGACATTGGCTTGAATCTGATGAGTCGGGGTGACCAAATTCGCCTCTCAATGCAACTCTAGCGGCCTATTCTGACAAAGTGCCCAAATCAGGCAAGACCGTGCAATGTGATGTGTTTAAGGCAGCAGCCACAAAAAGAGCACATGCAAAGCTAGATAGCATCCCAACATGTATTCCGGCTCCAGGAGTTTGCTGAGATCGCCGGGGCACAGGACCAAGCTTTCCAGGGGATCCAATCTTTAAAGCATTCCCTTTGCTTCTTTCCCATACCTCGACAGTCTACAGATGCCTCCTGCCATGGACTGCAAACCTGAACCTCTAGCACACAGCCCAGCAATCCACCCCGATTCAGGTGGGCGAAAGCGCGGAAGTGCAGGAGCTTCGGCGGCTCTTCGC